GGGCACATGGTGCCTTTAAGGAAACAAACAGCACTTACATGCTGGGTTAGAGGCACAGGGTGGGGTCAGCGTGGGCCGGAGGAAGGAATGGTTACACAGGGACTACAGGCAAAGCTTCGGGGAGAAGAGCCCCATTCCAGGCCCATCCTGGGAGGCAGGGGAGATGGGCCCGTGGTACATACCCAGCCGACTCATGAACGCCATCCACTGCCGGCAGGTCTGACTGAAGAGCGGGTGCATGGTGCCCACTTCCCCTTCCTGGAGCTGCCAGACTTGGCGCCTGTGGGGGAAGGGTACTGGTTATGCAGTCGAGGCCAGAGACAGACGTCAGGGGCAGTGCAAAGCAGAAGCTAGAGGGATGAGGGAATGGTGGTGCTCCCCCCCCCGCCCATGGTGATGTCTGGCCACTCCCTGTCCATGCATAATGCCCCTGTGGGTCGCCACAAGCCTCGGGCCCGGTGGGCCAAGGCCCCTCTTGCTCCGAGTCCTGCCACGCACAGCGCCAAACCGCGCGCCTTCCCGGGCTGCTGTGGGTACAGCCGGCCGGCCGTGCAGGGAGCGCCGGGGGCACTTGCCTCTGGGCCTGCTCCAGCTCGGCCGTGGCGGAAGCGCGCTCCTGGCTCAGGTGCTGCTTGACGCTCTCGGTCTTGTGGCGGCGCCGGGTGCGACTCTCCTCTGGCCGCTCCAGCACGATGTCGTCAGTGGTTTTGGGGCTGCCCAGCTCCGAGGAGTCGGCCTTACTCTGGGGGGACAGGGGGCACGCGAGGGGGTGAAGTGGTGGAGAGAGGCAAAGCTCTGAGCTCCCCTTGCCCACCCATCCCAGCTAGCTTCCAGCTGTAGGCCCGTCCCCACCACTGCCATCCAGTACAGCCAGCTCCTCCCCTCCCAGGCCCCGCTGTGACCGCAGCCCCGGGGCAGGACTCAGTCTGAGCACCCTGCTACAGCCCACGTCCCTCTGACTGTACCAGCATGTCCCAGAAGCTCCGGCGCCCCATCTTGTTTGTGGGCGTGACTGGCTCGCCGGAACTAGAGCTGGGGGCTGAGGTGAAGTGCAGAGGGGGCGGGGGCACTCTACTGGCACCAGCACTGCCCGCAGGAAGAGCCAGCCCCTTGGTCTCCGACATGGTCCTCCGGAGGCCTCCTGCAGACAGAGTGCACATCAGAACCTGGGCAGAGGCCGTGGACCCAGCGCCGGAGCAGCATCTCCCTGGCCAAGGAGAAGGGGCCAGTCTCCCATTGGCTCCTGGACTGGGGCCCATCCCACCCCCTTGGGCTCCAGGACACAGCTGCCTGTGATGAGAAGACCCAGAAGAGACCCCACAGCCAGACGGCAGCAATCCTGCCCCAGAGCTTACCGCCACTGCCTAGCTCCTCCAGCGGGCAGGCGGCCTCCACGCAGAGTGGGGCCGGCAGCACTCGGAACTCCATGACTGCATCGCACAGGGCATGGCGCACGGCGCTGCGCAGCTTCTCCGACAGCTGCAGGGGGCTGATGTTCCCTTTCTCCCAGACGTCCAAGCGCACCAGGGTGCAGGCAGCTGCGGGAAGAGGGGAGTCACCAGAGCTGCACGGCCCCTGCAGAGGGATGATCCCCCCAAGGCTCAGAGACACCCACGGGCACATGATGCCCTCTCCCCTAGCACAGCAGGCCCTCCTCTGCTCTAGCCATCCCAGAGACACAGCTGGAGGGGCCCCACCACCACAGCCCCCCCCCCCACACACACAGCCTTGAGCCCACTGTCCATGGTGCCCAGAGCTCCCCCGTCAGGCTGCAGCTCCTGCCCAGGCAACAGGGACAGGGACAAGGCAGCTGCTCAGCGGCTCCAGGACAGAACATGCGCACTCCCACCTGGTTGGAGGGTGCCGGGCTCAGCATGGTGCCTGCTGACTGCAGTGAGGCTCTCGAAGTCTGCGTCCTGCAGCAGGTCTGTGCCAGGCGGGGACGGGGGCAGCTTCAGGGAACTAGACCGTTCCCAGTGCGCCAGTGAGAGGGGGCTGTCACGCTCATCCACGAACGACAGAGCAATGCACGCAATTCCTGCAGGAGAGGAGAGCCCGAGTGACTGCGTGTCAACCCTGCACTGGACATCCCCCAGCCCACAGGGACTCTGGGCCCTTGCCGAGAGCTGCCACTGCAGCCAGTGCCCACGGCCAAGAGGGAAATGCCACCCCCTGGCATACAGCTGGGTCTGTCCTGCTGCCACTCGAGCATTCCCACACTTACACAGCTGCACAGGAGTGCCCGGTGCAGACAGACAGGGTCCCTGGCCTGGGGAGCAGAGGGGATGGGCTGCAGATGCCCACATGATGCCTTGAGGAGGTGCGTGTGGGTCATGTACCCATCATGCTGCATTTGTATTGTTGGCTGGTGCAAGGAGTCCAGCTATGCTGCCCTCGACGCCCCATCCCCTCCCCCCCACCCCCCTGAATGCTGCACCAGCTCCCCATGCCCTTCAGTGTGCTCCTGGACGTCCCCGCAGCATCCTGGCTAGGACATGCCCTCCCCACTCCCGGGGCAGGGCTCTGTGTCCTTGCTCCTCTCCATGCCAGCATCCAACACTCTTCAGTAGTGCTGCAGGACCTGTAGCTCCTGGTGATGATGCTGGGGAAGGCCCCAGGCCTGCAGCCTCGCTCTGAAGAGCTGAGCCGTGGCCTGGGGGTTTTACCCCCTCAGGGGCAGACAGAGTGAGGGGCTCTGGGCTCAGGGTATAAAGCAGTTAGTTCTTTGTATGGCAGGAGCCAGACCCTCAATCGGCCTCACTGAGCCACACACAGCCAGAGGCCTCGTCCCCAGGGGTCCGCAGTCTCCATCGGAACCAGGGGCACCCGCCGGGGGGGGGGGGGGAGGGAAGGCAGCAGGAGCAGGTGAGACAGCCCAGCCCTGGGACCATAACTCAGCCACCCAACCCCTCCTAGCCCTACCCAGCCCCACACTGCTTCCCAGGGCAGCTCTCCGAACAGCCAAAGAGCGGAGAGCAGTCCATGCAGCAAGCGCCGGTGCAGTAAGGAGGCTAAGAGCACTGTGTCCACTGCACATCGTCCTGTGTGGGGTCCCCCCACTGCCGTGTCTCTGGAGATGGAGATAGCTCCCCGTGGGCCACCAGGAGGGCCCTGGCAACTGGGAGAGGGTGCGGGGAAGTTGGCTGGGTAAGGGCAAGATCCCTCCTAGGGGCAGTATGTGCAAGGTGGCCCAGGAACCTGCACTTAAGGGCACTGAGACAGGCAAGTTCGCTGCACAGTTGCTGGCATGTGAACGCACGCAGGACCCATGCACTAGGTTACATGCCAGCAATGGGGGCCATCACAGGGCCCTGCCCCAATCCATCTCGCAGGAAGGTAACGCCCTCCCCTGCAGAGAGCAGTAAGTCACTCTCATGGGTGCCAGCGACTCAGCTGGGAGAGTGGGTCACACAGGGACGGCAGCAGGTGGCCGTGGCCTGCCCCCACTCAGCGCTGGAGGCAGCGACCCCTTTTCCAGGGGGCGGGGGATGCTTCCAGCGGAGCAGGAGTCTGCTGAACAGCAGGTTTTTATCGTCCTTGGGGGCTGGGCTCCACACACTCCAGAGCACAGCGCCCACCTTGGCATCCCAGAGAGGTGCTGAGGAGGTGCCTTTCCCTGGTGCCCACATGTCAGAGCTCTGCAGTCTGGGCTGGCAGCAGAGCGCTTGGATAGGGTCCCTGCAGCCTGCCCTGCCTAGGACATGCACCGAAGCGTCGGGTGGGTGCTGAGAGACGTTCATCGAGGACTATGATCATCATCCAGTTTGACCAGGCACGTAGCAGGCCAGAGAGAATCTCCCCGGGGATTCCTGGAGCCAGCCCATAACGTTGGGCTGAGCTAGAGCAGTGGCTAATTATGTCCGAAGTTGAATTTGTTTATATTCAGCATTGTCTAGTTCAGCTTCCCGCCCCGGAGCCCGTTCGGCCTCAGTCTGCCAGCCTGAAGAGCCCTCTGCTAGCGGAACACACGGCTCCACCCCATGGTGCTCAGACGTGCTCCAGTCACCCCTTCTCTCTCTCTCTTGCCAACGCACTGAGCTCCTTTAGTCTCTCATGAGCAGGCAGGCTTTCCAGCTCACGAGTCCTCCTTGGGACTCCTGAACCTTCCATCCCCCTGACGCACGCACACCTGAATGGGACACAGTACCCAGGGCTGGTCCCTGTCTGCCTGCATCAGGAGGGCTGCTACCCCCTACCTGGGGCCGGGCTAGCCGTGCAGCTCTGTGACCTGCCTGATTCCCCAGGCCCATTCTGCAAGCGCCTGCCCCAGGCAGATGGCTGGTTCCCACGGGCTGCCCCAGCACGAGAGGCCAGCCAGGATCCAGGCACAATGCTCTGGAGCAGGGGAACAGGCTGGGGTCCACCAGATGCCAACGCTGCCAGTCCCATTATGAGAGCAGAGGGGAGCTCCGCTGCGGGATCCCCACACTGGGCATCGCAGCTGTGGGAGGCCCCGCTGTGGCTGGGCCTGATGCCTGCGGTAGCTTGGAGCTGTGCCCCTCCCCTCCACAGCCAGGAGATGCAGGGTCCCCCCTGCCACCCGCAGCAGCCGGGAGCTTCGGGGTTCCCCTGCTGCCTCATGCCGCGGGTGGACCCTGCATTTCCCAGCCGCCGCAGGCTGAAGTCATAGAGGTCTCGAGACTTCCATAAGAAAATCGTAGCCTTAATCCATTGATGGTGTGATGATATCTAAAGCCCAGCTGAAACTGGAAACCTACTCTCCCACTCTCGGGCACAGCCTAGACAGACAGCGACCGAGATCATGGTCCCCCCACTTCCTGACAGGATTTCCGCCCAGACCCACACTGACGGAGATTGGGGCTTTGTCCCCTCCTCCCCCCTTTCCCACTGGAAGTGCTGGCCAGACCGCAGCACTCACCCAGCCCCATCGCACTGGATCCCCTCCACCCAGCCTCATCACACCAGGGATGCTGTCCACTATAAACCCCCCAATGCAGCCACCTGGGTCTTGGGGTGCAGGGTGACCCCCTGGGGCCTTGTGGGCATAGCCGTGGAGGGAGCCTGTACCCTGTGGGCACTGCCTGCAGGGTGCCCTGGTGGCAGGAGATGTGTTCCCATTGCAGAGAGCTCCCTGGGCTGAGCTGGGGGCGGGGGGGGCCAGCAGCAGAACTCTCTCTCCAGGGGATTTGAGGGTTGTGGCTCCAGGCAGCAGCAGCCTCCTGCTCACTGACCCCACAGGCAGCTGGGAAGAGGGAGCCTGGAGTCACACAGCCACGAGCCAGCGCTGAAGCCACAATACAACCCAACCAGTCCATGGCAGGAACAGAGGGGCCAGGTGGGGGGAGGGGAAGAGGTTCAGTGCAACACGAACCACAGGTGCTACCTTGAAAGTGGGAGAGCGGAAACAGGTGCTGCACAAGGTCCGACATGGTTCCTACACAACAGAAGAGCATTCAGAGGCCACCGAGGGCCACACCAGCCTCGCCACAGACAGACACAGAGATGGGACATTACCACCCAGCAGGGGAGGGGCACAAGGGACCAGCACGAAGCACAGGACGGGCAAGCTTTCCTCCAACAGCCCACGAGAGGGGGCAGGACACTGCACCCACAACGAATCCTCAGCAGCTAGTACCTACGGTGCTCAAGGGTCCCCATCGCCAGGCGCCTGCACCCAGCGGGCCTGCCCTTCCCCACCCAAGACCCTGAACCCCGAGGGTTACCCCATGCTCCTACCTGTTGGAACCCAGCTGTGTGTCACCCCAGAGCTGGGTGAACAATGACCTGGGCTACTGAGGGGCAGGGCACACTGGGGCCCTCGGAGAACAGCACATCAGGGCTACTGCTCTGCTGCTGGGCCATGTCCAAGGGGCCTCCAGCCAGCCCCAGAGCTGCACTGCAGCAACGCTGCTCCAACGGGAAGGAATGGGGCAGGGGACCCTCTCCAAGCTGTGCTGGGCCCCAACTGCCATGGCGGGGCTTTTCCCTGGGAGGCCTCCCCAGGGAAGAGATGATCCCCATGGTCCCACATCCACACTCTGTGCACAGGGCACGTGCTGCCCTCCTATCCCTGCGGGACGCTCAGCACGAGAAAGCAGCTCCCTGCTGCTCAGCCCCTCCCCCAATGCCAGAGAGCCCAGCGCCCCAGTACCTTTGCCGCCAGTGCCTTGGCCACCAGGCTTGTTGTACAGGTAGAGATCTAGGTCGGGACTGCCACCCTGCTGGAAGTAGTGCTGGGGAGCAGAGAAGGAGAAGGGTGAAGGGCGTGCCTGGGTAAGCACCCCACTGAGCGACGGGAGGCGGCCTCAGCCACATCAGCAGGAGAGCAGAGCCTTGTCCCAGGGGCGGGCGCGTGCCAGCCCAGCGTGGCTTCACCCACTGTAAGCGCTCTGCCTCCAGCCACATGGGCAGGTCCCTTGCTAACCCTGAGCCTGTCCCCATCTGCTTCAGCCCTGCCCTCCATGCTCAGCCCTCATCATCTACCAGCCACTGGGACTCGATGGGCTCTGGGCTGGTGCCTAGCAACCTGCCTTGCATGCTGGTGGCATCACCCCCTCAGCCACAAGTCCAGAAAGGCTGCCGGGCCACTGAGCTGCCTAGGATGGCTGTCAACCTGCCAGGCCCCACAGCTGGAGGGGAGGGGAGCAGACAGCCTGCCAGCCAAGCAGTGCTGCTGGGGGTTAGCGGGCACTGAACTCTCCACCACCCGCCAACCCACCTCCATGCCCTGATGCGGAGTGGGCGGAGCTGCAGGCCGGGCTCTGGTGTCTGAGCCTTTCTTAAGGGCATGAAGCCCTCGGAGCCACATGGCAGCACACCCAGGAAGCCAGAGCCCAGCAGACCCAGGGGCAGGCTCAGCGCCCACGTGGAGGCTGGCACAGCAGCCCTGCTCACTCGGTAGGTGTGGCACGGCTGGCCAGAGGCGTTGGCTCAGTGGGGCCAGGAGACAGAGCCACGGGGCATTGTCACAATTAAGAGAGACAGACATGGTGGGGAGGTCTCCACGGCGACAGCCGGGAACAGGACCATCAACGTAGCTCAACGCAGATGAGTGCTGCAGCTGGGCCCCTCCTACTCCCCACCCTCCTTGTCCTCTGGGTCACCCCCCCGCCCGCAGCTTCCCAGTACCTCAAACCCCTCCCCCCAGGCATCGGCCTGTGCGTGGGGACAAGGCCCAGTGCGGGGTGACTGCACCCGGCGGTGCTGCCTGCACCAACCGCTCCCAGGGGGCTCATCTCCTTGGATGGGAATTCACTCTCCTCAGGCTCCGGAGCGAAGCGTCAGACTTCGCCACTCGGCCGCTGCCATTGAGCGCAGCAAGACAGCCACAGACCTGCACGCTCTGCAGCAGGTGACACCTACCCAGCCGGAGCCCTGCTCTGATGCACCCCCAGTCCATGTGGGAACACGGCTGCACGCAGGGCCCCAGCCCCTCACCTTGAAGTGGTGCTCTACGTTGCTGTCGGTGTACTTGGGGGTGTGCAGGAAGATGAGCAGGTTCTGGCGCAGGTAACAGGCCACAGCAGGGAGCCAGGGCAGAGAGGCTGGGGGCAGAGTGAACTGGAGGACTTCTGTGGGCGGAGAGCCTGGGGGCTGGATGAACTGTGAAGAGGAAGCCTGCTCATCCCTGGGCCCAGCACTCCGGGGAGAGGCAGCATCAGACAGGCCCCCCCCGAGTGCTGCTGCACACAGAACTCCCCGAGGACCCAGCGGACGTACGCGGGGCGCTCATGGGCACCCTGTTCCAGAGATGGCCTGAAGCAGGGGGTCAGCGCTCAGACACCTGGCAGGGGCCCTGCGCCACCCCAGCGCCTGGTACCCCAGCCAAGGAGACAGCCTCAGGCAGTGGATGTTCCCTGCAGAGGCAGAGTGGCTGGCCTGGGGGTGGGGGACAGCGGGGGCATAGCAGGACTGATGGCTCCTGGCCTCTAGCAGGGGTCTGGATCTGGCTGTGGGCCCTGGGAACACGTTACCTCCACGTCGGCCGGGGTCAGCTTGCAGTTCCGCACCAGCATGACAGTGATGATGTCCAAGGTGGCTTCATCCAGACGCCTGCGCAGAACCTTCACCAGCTCGTCTGTGATCTCGGGCCCTGGGGAGAAGCAGAGGTGAGAGCAGCCCCCAGGACAACATGCTCATCAGGGCATCACCCCCGGAGGTCCCACCCCGCCCCTCAAGCGGGGCACCCGCCTCTCACAGCAAACCCCAAGAGGCGGCTCCCGTCGGAGGAGTAGCCCTGGCGCCGACCGGGGGAGGCATGGCACTGTCTGGGCTGCACGTCGTGCATGGGGTTTGACCCTGGGGCCATCTGGCATCGATGCCCAGGACAGCTGGGGGGGCAAGGGGAGAACAGGGCCCGGCACGGACAAGGAAGCAGCCCCCCCCGCCCCGGGCCAAGGGATAAACTGTTCCCCCTGACCCGAGACATGCCTCATGCCATGCGGAGCTGCTGACTCCAAGCCCCAGCATCAGGCATCGCTCAGACAACAGCCGGGGCAGAGAATCTTGCGCCCCCACCCCCACAAACCGCTGCCCCGGGAGCAATCCTGCCGCCCAGCCCGCCCCCCACCCACTGACCCAGGGGCAATCCTGCCCCCCAGCCCCGCTGCCCCGGGGATGATCCTGCCCCCCAGCCCACTCCCCAGCCCGCTGCCCTGGGGGCGCCCCAGCCCAGCCCTGCCACTCCCACACCACTGCCCAGCGTAGGGGGTGATCGATCCTGTGCGCCCTCTCTCCCCCAGGAGGTCATGGCCCACCTGCTGGGGCGACACCATGCACCATGAGCTGGATGTGTCTGTCCACCTGGCCCACGGGGCGGGCAGAGTCCGCGCTGCGGCAGGAGGCTGTGTCCAGGGAGGAGCGCGAGCCCTGGGGGGAACAAAGGGGCTACACTAGACACATCCGCTTCCACAGCCCCCTAGAGCCAGCCCCACGTAGGACTGCTGGGGAGTCACTGAGCTCTGGCAAGCTCCAGCATCTGCCACTGCTCACACGACCCCCCCCACCCCACCCTGTCTGCAATTCCCCCCTCTTTGTTCCCCCCTGCCCTACCTGCAACCCTCCTACCCCACACTTCCCTCTGCCCTGCTTGTAATTCCCCCACCTGTACCCCAACCCTCCCATGCCCCACATGCACCCGCTCACAAACCCTCAAAACCCACAACTGCCTGCCAGAGAGGAGATGGGGCTGCTCCCTGTATCCCAGGCCTTCGGCGCCCACCACCAGTGCGTGCCCATGCTGGGCCCACTGACACCCCCCCCACCCACCACAAACCCTGAGGAGCTGCCCCAGATCCCGCAAGGGCAGAGAGCAACACAGACTTACTGTCTGATCCTCCATGTGAATGGGCTCCTGACTGCGCGTCAGAGCCAGCGAGTGGCACACGCAGCCCTGGGTGCTCTCCCCTTCCCCCGCCTTCCCGTTGTGGGTGGTTTCAGAGAGTCTGGGCACAGGGAGAGAGGGACGGGAGGAATGTGAGGCAGCAGCCTCAGCCCACGGGGTGGGGCCCTGGGCATTAAGGTGTCAGTGAAAAGGAGCAAGAGTTCAGTGGGGTTTTTACTGAAGGCTCAGTGGGTCTTTGTGTGGAGGGCCAGGCAGCGGCGGGCAGGAGGGACCCAGTCTGCCTGGCACCACTGGTGAAATGGTGCAGTCACTGCAGGTGCTGCAGTAGCATGTGCAGGGCACTGCCCAGACACAGACCGTCCCTGCCCCAAGGAGCCCAGAAAACCAGGGCAATAGCCCCGGCGGAGATCAGGGGGGCACGGCCTAGGGACAAGGCGACCGGGGGCAGGGCTGGGGAAGGGGGCTCCTTACCGGAGGTAGAAGACTGACTTGGTGGATCGCTCCTGGTAGACAAACATGTTCTTCCTGTTCACCACACAGAAAGCATTGAGCACCGAGCGTAGCGCCTGGATAGCTGTGGAGACATGGGACACTGAGCTCTGTTCTGCAGCCCACTGCCCCACTGAGCTCTCTGCCCCCCGGTGCAGACATGGGGCCTAGGCAGGCACCGCTCAGACCCCCGCCTGCTGGATGCCTGGGAAAGGCAGGGCCCA